CAGAGGAAAATCAGCACTGCTTGAAGCTTCACTCAGCTTTTGCAATTAATTAAGGTGCCATCACACACCAGCAGCTTGCACAGTTTAGAAACCTGCCTTTGACCACATCTCTGGCCCTTCTCTTGATGGCCATCTCAGCAGAGCCCCCTGCCCACCTGAGGGGTGGCTGGGCTTAACCCAGGAGATGCATTTCTCACCTGGTTCATCCCCACTGGCTCCCAACGTCCTGCTCAGAACAGGAGGAAACTCTTAGTTAAGCCAACAACCACTGGGACCTGCACAGCATGGAGCCAAGCCCTGCTCACCTTCCTCGTGCCATGCTGCTCTGTGTCTCCCTGCAGCACATACTTGGGGTGCACCAAAGCTGGGGGGTTTAGTGCTAACACCACCACATAGATAGGTGACATCATTTATCATGATGTTTCGTGGTTTAGGGGTTTTGTTTTGGTGATAGACCTCATTGCCACAGCCAGTAAATCTTTATAACTTACCCACTGAGCTGCTGGAACCCTTTTTTTGGCCCCAAGATATTTTTGTTCCCTGTCAAAGGGAACTGCGGGGCAGCATCCTCGCCTCAGGGCAGGAGCTGCTCTGCTAGGCAGGCAATTAAAACCAAGGGAAACCAGGGCGGGGAAAAGGAGCAGCTCAAGAAAAAGCTCACAATTCAGCTGTGCAGACTTTATCCCTCCAGCAATTTCCAGGGGAAAAAAAAAAATTTACTGAATTAATAGAGGAAAGGAAAGCTCAGCCCAGCCCAGCCTAGCCTAGCCAGGCATCTGAACAGTCCAGATTAGAAACTGGGAAGGAAAGCTGCTGACAGCACAGCACTTGTCCTCACAGCTGCCTTCCCTGGACATCCAGCAGTGTATTTCAGGAAATCAAGAAGAATAGGAAAAAAAAGAATCCAAAGGCAAACGGTCCAGGCCCATCTCTCCTCCCAGGGCTGGGGGCAACGTTGTCTCTACAGACCATGAAATGGGGTATAGGAGGGTAAAGACATTTGTCACCAAGAGACAATTATTTTTGTTCACTCCCAAGCTATATCACACACTGCTCAACACTTCTCTCGACTTTCATGGGTTACAAAGGAAGATGTTCAGCTCCTAAAAAACTCAGAGACATAAAAGGAGCCTCTGGCATCAGTCGCTTGCAAGTGATGTGCAGGAGAGGTGTGGGAGAGTCCTGCTGCTGACAGGTTTCCTGCCATATGGCAAGGCAGGATCAAGAAATTCAAGATAGCAGGAGAGTTGGGGGTTATGGGACAGGGAGTACAGAAAAATGAAATAACAAAACTCAGCCTGAAGAGCTGTAGCTCCTCCCAGCCACCCAAAGCCCAGGACCACCCGTGCCAAGTGAAGAGGCACATCCAATCTTCCATAGAGCACTGACCTGGCCAGATCCACTGGAAGTTCACTAAGGAGGTGAAAACTCCTGTTGTTTTCTGTATTTTATTTGAATACTGTGAAACAGAAGACTCTAGTGAGAAAAGAGGGTTGTTTTTTAAGTAAGGACCCTGGGGAGAAAGCCAGGGGGCTTGCAAAACAAAGCCCCTATTAACTTTGGTCTCAACTTTCAGGTCATGCATGTTCAGTTCTTTTTACCTGGAAATGAAGATGTTAATTGGAGCTGACAGCTTTCATAGGTTTCCCCATTAGCAATATTTTTAGCCACAGTAGGGCCCAAGCCTTCAAACACTTTCCCAAGGGAAGGTTTAACCTTTCTTTTGAAACACCTCATGCCACTCGCAGGGAAAAAAGAGGTTTTTTGGCTCAAGGTGTACTGAGCCCTGGCCATGACAAATTCCCAGTGCCTCTGAACAGGGGACACGGGAGGAATGGGGAAAAGAGAGGGGGGAGAAGCAGCCTGGAGCCCAGAACAGAGCTTGGCACTGCATGGTGGCATCACCCAGTGGGGCAGCCCCGTCTCCAGCACCCCGACCCTCCCCACCTGCGTGATGGGTGCTGGGCTCTGGGCACGGCCCAGCCCAAGGAGGGTCTGTGGGGTGTGCTGGCTCCCGTCCCCTGCCATGTGGCTGATCTCCACCACGGTGATGGGACCAGCCAGGAATCAGTCAGACACGTCCCCTGCCACCTGGATGCCCAACGCTGGTGTCCTCATGCAGGACCCATCCATGGGTGACCCCTAGGGCAGCAATCAGAATGGATCCTCCAGCCCTTTTTCTGCCACAGCTCAGATCCTGTACATTGACATTTTGTGAACTTGTTGGATCCAAGAACCTTTTGTTTTTACAGCTGGTTTCTTTACATACTGTTAGCCTCTGTATATAATGTACTGTTTTCAGATGAAGCAAAAGCCTTGAGAAACCACATTCAACATTGTCTTCTGCCCGGGACTGAAAATTGCACAACTTGCTTATTTTCCAAATAAATATATGGATAGTGTGTAAATATATATATATATATATGTGGTGCTTAGGGATATGGCTTAGCAGTGGGCTCAGCAGCATTAAATTTACAGTTGGACTTGATCTTAAAGGTCTCTTCCAACCAAAATGATTCTATTATTCTATATATTCCATTAAAAATAATATATTTTTATTAATCTGTATTATTATTTTTATATTTTATATTAAATATGTCTACGTATTAAAAATACATAATCAGAGATGACAGTATTGCCTCATTTTAGAAACCCACTCTAATGCAATGCACACATGTTCCACTTACTACACCACCGCTACTCCCACCAAGTTTTGCAGTTTCTCTCCAAATGGAAATGTAACGTGGCTGAAAGCCGAGCTGACACCCAAGGAAGCGGTTAGACACTCCCCGCAGAGCCTCAGTGATTTACCTCATTGTAATCACTTTGGAAAATCACTTGTTATGTCTCCAAGATGGTGACATCAAGGAAGGCCAGATGAGGATGTTTTTACTCATCTTTGCAGGCAGCAGTAAGATGGGGCAGCCCAGGGCTGTCCCAGCCGCTTTGCCAGTGAGACCCTGGGGCTTTGCTGGAGCAGGGACAAAAGGGACACATGGCTCCCAAGAGAGGGTAAGGGGCCATGGGGGGAGGCAGCCCCCTCTGCACAGGGCTTCTTGCAAAGCCACCCAGATGCCACGGGGCTGTGTGGGACTGGGACAAGGGGGTCACCCTGCAGGGAGCACTGGATTTATTGCATTGACTGGGTCCAGTAGTGCCCTTGCAGCTGTGTCCCCTGAAAGAAGCATGTTTTTGCCTCAACAGCACTGCCCTTCCCTTGGGCCCTGGCACCACCAATGTCGAGATATTAAAGGATAAAGTTAAACTCATCAGATATATGGAGATTCTTATAGTAAAATATAAATTAAACTGACCAGGTATAATGCTGTTAGAAATAGCCATTGTATAGTCCCATCCTTACTGGGACTACAGATAGAAAAACTGGTAGTCAGAGATTTATGATTTAAACCATGTACCTTTGTCTGATAGGTAGGACGTAGCCATCAAAAAGCAGAAGTAGAACTGATAAATTGCTAACTCAGTTAGCCAACCCTGAAGAACTGCTTTGACTTGCCAAAAGACTGTGACCTTAAAGGAAAGTTAATTCTGGCAGGGGGAGATTGAGACCACCGACTCACAGACCACACTCAATTCATATCAATGACTCAAAAGAAATAGGTGGAGTAATAAGATTGAGCGTGCATACTGATTTACATGCTAGGTGAACAGATTTTAAGCAGTTAATAAAATAACAATGTGTGTGTATTAGGAGGCTGAATACATTAATGCTTTGTTTATAAATAACTGTGGATTTGAAGACTTGGTGAGCTCTCTTGGGACAGGCACACATACACGGGCATGTACGCAGTAACAGGAAATACCTCCACTCTGTGTGGAGTGGCTCTTTGCACACTAGGTGGTAGACTCAGTTTTTGGGACACCACCACCACAGCCCCACTTGCACCCAAGCCCTGCAAATCCACCCACGTGCAAGAAGAGAGTACTCCCACTGAGCATCCCAAACAAAGCACACTGGGGCTGCCACAACAACACACACCTCCCCAAAAATTATTTACCTGGTATACAGAAGTACCTCTGTGGTGCCAGCACAGAACAAGAGAACATCAGCAACGGCTGTAGGAAAGAGCATCACCCCACCAGGCAACAGAGCTGCACCAAGAGCTGCAAGCTCTCCCCACCCAGGAGAGGTTTGTGGGGGTGGGACAACCCTCAGCTGGTGGCCATCAGCCCTGCACCCACCTGCCTTGTAATTTGGTCAGCCCAAAGCCCTTGAGCCAAACCCTGCTCACGTGCTGTGGGTGCAGGAGCTGTGAAGCTGTGGGGTGCCGAGTGGCCCTGTCCACCCTGTGCAGTGATGCCATGTAGCTGATGGGGGACAGGCACAGGGCAGAGCCTGCATGCAGGTGGCCTGTGGAACCTAAAAAACAGTCAGGGTCAAATAAACCTCCCCAGGCATCTGCTTCCCCCCAGCACACCTTTTTAATCCAGAGCAGATTGGGGTAAAAACAGCTCCTTTCGCATGAGACCCCATGTCCCCGGGGAGTTGCTGCTACTCGAGTGCTAGAAAGACATAGGAGCCTCCACCTGCTGTTTGCCATTTATTTTAGCGGAGAGAAACATAATACACACAAAAGGCATTTTGCATAACTTAGCAGAAAATAACACTTTTCCTCCACTCTTCACTCACCAGCGGGCAAAATCATTTCCTACACAGGGCTATTTTGGTGCTAACAGTTTAGTGTATCAGTAAAATCATGGGTTTCCTCTAAAACACTGTGACAGTTGATCTGAAACCCAAAGTCAGGCTCAGGCTTGGGAGCTCCTTGGCTGTTTAACACAGCTCCGTTTGCCCGTGGGAAGGGTGAGTGCCGGGTTCATCCCCACGGCATTCCCAGGAAGGATTTTCACAGCCGGGGTCTGGCTCGGGATGCTGAGCAGCTCCGCGGCTCTCGCCGCCCATGCCATGTCCTGGCCACTCTTCCCTGGGACAGCTGGAGAGGTGACCCAAAACACAGTGGGCACGGGCAGCACTGGCAGCCTCAGTCCAGGGCCAGCGAGGGGATCTTGCAGACAAAGGGGAAGGCTCTGCCGCAGGCGTTGTCATTCCAGGAGCGCAGAGCTACCCCCCCAAAAAAACAAGGTGTTAGCAGAAAAAAGGAGCAAGGAGGTAACCACGCAGAGCCCTCAGGACGGGGACCTCCTGCCATTGCAGGAGCCCTTCCCTGGATGTCCTCCCATTTGGGCTGCTCCCAGCCGTGCCTCCTCCCAGCACCCCCACCCCGGTTCTGGGGATGCTGGTGGGGACACCTGGGCCCAGCTCAATCATGGGAGCAGGGAGGCAGCTGCAAACACAGCCCCGTACCACGCAAACTATCACCAGGTCACACATGGACAGGGCGTTCAGATACATCCACAGGGTCTGGATACACCTGACTGGTCTCACTGGAAATGAGGGTATGAACTGGGATTTTTGCACAAGCAGGGTCTTGTCCTGCTTCAGCAAGAGGCCCCAGGCCTGAGCGAGGGAGGGAAAAGCTGGCAAACTGAGGGGTGTTTCCCCGGGCTGTGTGTAGGAGGGGAAACCAGAAACTTTGACCTTTGGCTAAATTCAGTGATTCTTCAAACTGGGTGATGCTGCCCTCACACCACTGCTACGGGAGAGGGAGATGGGCTGTGAGCAGAGGGAAAGTGAGCGTGTATGTGTCTATGTACATGGTGCAAGAGAAAACGCATCCCTTCTCTGCAAAGAAAAAGGGAAATAATAATAAAAAATTAAAATGCAAATCCTCACCCTTCCAGCAATGTCTTCAGAAAAGCACAAGCCACGGTGGATTGAATTTATTGACATGCAAATAAGACTTAAGACGCCCTGGATGCCCGGGGCGGCACTCACCGCTGCTGTGCCTGTACCAGATCTGCACGCAGTCCTCCTCCTCCGGGATGGAGTGGATCCCGTCGTCGGGCTGGCTGCCATCCCAGTAGTGGTAGTCATAGGAGGAGCCGTCCGTCCACTCGAAGTGACCCTCCTGGCACGGGTGAGCAGAGAAGGGCCATGATCTCAGAGATGAGTTTGTAAGGGAGTCCTGCTCCTGTGCAGACCTCGCCCCCATCCCCAGTGCCACACAGCCCAGGGACATGACTGTCACCAGTCAGCAAAGGCCAAACAGCTCGTTTGGGTTTTACAACTGCAAGTTTACACTGGAAAGCCCCAGCATTCGCAGTGCTCTCATCAGGGGAAGCCCAGAAATTAAACCCATATATTTTTTAATATACCCACCCAATTCTGTGCTACTTTTCCTCTTTCTTTTCCATTCCTTTCCTAATATCTACAAAAAAATTTTCTGGCATGGGACTGTTTTCCTGATGCTCTCGATTTTTCTTTGTTACATATTAAACTATATATTTCCAACTGTCAGCTTTGAGAAGTTGCAGAGTATCTTAAAGGTCTCTTCCAACCTAAATGATTCTATGACTTCTATGACAAGAAAGCAATGAAACTTGGAGATTTTTGATACTGGAGATGTTTTCAGTTTATTTGTTCTTCCTGGACCAGCAGTACAATACCCTTTCTATTAATCCATTAATAAAATATGATGTGAATAATTAGTAATGGTTAATCTATTAATTCTAGTAACACTTTTCTTTTAAAAGCAGACTGGAGGGGATGAAATGACAACTTTCCCCACATGCTGCACAAGAGACCCTATACCACCACTTGATTAATGGAGCTACGAGTGAAGAAGAAAACCAAGTGGCTTTCCAGGGGCAAAACACAGAGAAGGGGATTTTCAAAGCCATTTCCCACAGGATTATGGGGAGCCCTCACCTGCCGCAGGTCGTTGAGCCCCGTCCAGATGTCGGTGGGGATGCCCGGCACGCGGCTGTTCACCAGGTCGTACACAAAGACGTTTTCTTCCCAGCTGGAACAAGAGAGCAACATGGAACGTCTGAGAGGTATGTCAGACAAATGGTCAGGCATGTCCCTGTGCATTCACCCCACGGCGTGGCCAGATGGGTCCCCCTCTGCTAATTGCTGTTGATTACTTTCCTGGATCTGTGCAAGAGGTGCATAGTGGGGGCAAGAGCTGGGGGAGAGGGAGTGGGGGAAAGCCTCTGTAATCACCTTCTATTTCTATCCCTTTTCCAAGAGTAAAAAATGTGGTTTTTGGGGAATTTAGGGAATGTCACATCAGTTTTCCTGCCAGCCCAGGAAAAGGCATTTTTTACATGGCCTTTGTGTGCCTAGTGTGCCAGACCTGTCCTGGTCACTGCTGCAGAGAGATGCTTAGGCTGGTGCAGAGGGATGCTTAGGCTGGGACACGAGGTAGTGTCTGCAGCTGACACAGAGGTTGTGCTGTGGGAATGGGACCTCATGTCCTTTTTTCTTTTCCCGCAGGCCGTGCCTGGGTGGGATGATAAGTTTCTGTGCTCCTCACCTGTGGATGGAGGCCAGCTTGGCTGATCTGATGCCAATGGAGAACTCGGCACAATAGAGGTCAGCTTCAGCCCAGGTTTTGTTGATGGGGAAGTACCGGTAGCAATGGCCTTCATACTCAGTCCAGAAGAGCGGGCAGGAGTAGGCATGGACAGGCTCTGGCATGGCTGGGGGTAGAGCAGAGGACATCCAGCAGCTGATGGAGAAGCAGCATGGCTGGGCAGCAAGGAGGCAGGAAGCCCAGCCCAGCCCTGCTCCCCCACCTCACCCAAATGAGACAAATAAGCACCAAACGCATCCATGGAAAATCCAGGTGCTGCAGAAGCTGTGTGACAGTTTGCAAAAGCCAAAACACGTTTTGCAATGGTTGTGGGTTTCTTGCTTTTAGCATCTGCCTAAATCAGGAGAGATGTTTCAAGCCAGTTTGACATCGTTTTAGGCAGAAGGTGCTTAAAATAAAGGCACTGACATTTGCAGTATGGGGAAACGGAGATAAGGGCTCCTCTCGCCTCTATCAGGCACTACTGGAGCGGCCGTGCTGGGATGGGAGCTGACAGCGGGGGCTGCAGGGTTATGGCCGCACTCTGCCCTCCTGCTCTCGCCCTCTGCAAGGCTGACTCACACCTTCTCCCTCCGAGCAAACCCCCTCACCATCCCATGTCCCTGGGCCGGGACGCGGCCGTGCCTGTACGCACATCTTGGGTTTTGGCCCCATAAATAGCCGGGCGAGACGCGTGCTGCCGGGAGCGGTGCCGGCCTATCTGCCTCCTGCCGCCAGATAAGAGCTGGGCTCCGGGGGGCTGCTCTCCTCCCCCGCCACTTTTCAGCACAGTGGGGGAGTTACCCCAAAAGAGGCCATTTTGGGGGGGCAGGACATGTTTCTGGAGCCTTTGCTGTTGCTGCTGTGCAGACACCGCAATGGCACTAACACTCCTCTCCGACCTCCTCCACGTTGTGCTCACCCCATTGGTGTGGGGAGGAACCACTCACACCCAACACACCCTCCAACGCTAACGCGGGCGGAACCCCCAGATCTTGTGCATGTGGGCTTCACTCTCTTAGCTGCTGGGGTTCGAGCCTTGGGGAATTGCCAGCTCCCCCAGAGCCAGGTCCCGCATCCCCA